CAGACAACAACAAAGATGACAAATTAAAAAGAAGTAGTATCATATTCACAGTTAAAAAACATCTTAACTGTATCCTGAAATATAACTAATATAGTGATAGAATTAGGGAGCTCTGGTGGCCTACTGGTAAAAAACTGTGCTATAATCCTGAAGGCCCATGGTTTGAATCCGCCAGCAGCTCTGTGGGAGCAATCTCCTCCTGTGCAATTAACTGCCTCTGAAAAGCAGCTGAAGGGTCAGCTATGGGTCGGTTCTGACTATGGTGGTACACAACAACAATAACAACAGTGATAGGATTGTATTCATATGACTATAAGGATATAGTCATATGAATATGACTATAAGGATATAGTTGATATGACCATTATTCCAATTTATGCATCAACCACTAACATCCAAGACAAAGAAATTGTAAAATTTTGCCAACTTCAGGTGTCTGACATTGATCAAATATACAATCAATGTGCATTGGTAATTATTGGTGATTGAAATGCAAAAATTTGAAACAAAGAACTTAGAGTAGTTGGAAAATATCTCCTTGGTGATAGAGAAAACACTGGAAATCATGTGACTGAATTTTGCAAAATCAATGGCTTATTCATTGGAAGTGCCTTTTCCAACAACGTAACTGGTGACTATTATACACATGGATCCTGTTTCCACACCTTTTCAAACTGTATGCAGAACAGATCATTCAAGGAGGCTGGACTTTATGAGGAGGAAGGTTGTATCAGAATTGAAAGAAGACTCATCAGCAATTTGTGTTATGCAGGTGACTCAACCTTGCTCACTGAAATGGAGGAGGACCTGAGGCACTTGCTGCAGAAGGTCAAGAAAACGATAGTCTGCAATATGGATTGAAGCTCAACATTAAGAAAACAAAGATTTTCACCACTGGGCCAATTGGCAACACCATGATAGATGGAGAAGGGATTGAAATTGTAAATAATTTCAGTTTGCTTGGTTCCACAATCAACACTCTTGGCACAGCAAGTCAAGAAATCAAAAGATGAATTTCATTAAGAAAATCTGCTGTCAGAGACCTCTCTAGAGTGCTGACTAAGGTGATCCTGATTCAGCCCACAGTTTTCACAATTACTTGCTACGCATCAGAGAGCTGGACATTTAGTAAGGATGATAGAAGAAGAATCAATGCCTTTGAACTGTGATGTTAGAGAAGAATATTGAACATACATTACATGGACTGCCAATAGCACAAGAAAGTCTGCCCTGGAGAAGCTGAAACCAAGTTTCTCCTTGGAGGCAAAGATTTTGAAGCTGTATTTCACATACATTGGACACATTGCCAGGAGGGACATCATGTTTGGAAGAATGAAGGAACAATGCAGGAGAGAGAGAGCCTGGATGAAACGGATTGACACAGTGACTAAAGTAATGGGAGTAGGTATGTTGAAGACAGTGAGACTGGCTCAGGATAGGGCAGGGTTCAGAGCTGTTGTCCACAGCATTGTTATGCATTCAGAGTAGAACAGGGAAGAAGAGATGCCATTACTAATAGTAGAGAGATTTTGACTGAAAGCAGAGAATACCAGAAAGATGTGTTTTATTGACTATGAAGAAACATTCAACTGTGTGAATCATAACAAAGCCTGGATAACATTCTTAGACACTCTTGTGCTCAGGGAATACTGGTGGCCTAGTGTTAAAAAGCTGTGCTGCAATTCCAAAGGCACAAGGTTTGAATCCACCAGTGAGAGAAGAATGGGCAATATCCTCTCATGTGATTTACTTTCTCAGAAACCTGCTGGAGGGTCAGCTGTGAGTCAGTTTCAACTTGGCAGCACACAGCAACAACTACTGTGCTCAGGTATGAACCTGTGCACAGACCAAGAAGCAGCTGTTCTAACAGAATAAGAAGATAACTTCAGTAAAGGAAATGGAGAAGTTCTGGTGTGAAAAACAATGTTTAAGAACTTTGTAAGTAAATCGGTATGAAATAAAATTTTTATTTTTTAAAAAGAGGATAATTCACAATTTAAAATCAAGAAAAGTGTACCAGGCTTGTATTCTCTTATTATGCTTACTTTGGTCTGGACGCTGCACAAATGATTTGAGGAACTGGACGATATGAAGAAAACATAACGTCAGGATTGGAAGGCGATTCTTTAACAGTCTTTGATACGCAGATGATATGGCCTTGCTTGCTGAAAGTGAAAAGGACTTGAAGCACTGATCATAGATTACAGCCTTCTGTCTGGACCACACCTTAATGTAAAGAAAACAAAAATCACAATAAGACTGATAAGTAACAACATGACAAGCAAAGAACTTACTGAAGTTGTCAAGGAATTACTTTTTTTTTCTTTTTGGGGAATTAATTTTTCTTGGATCCACAATTAATGTTTGTGGAACCAGCAGTCAAGAAATCAACCAATAAATAGTGCTGGATAAAATTGTGCAAGGGATCTTAAAGAGCAAAGATGTAATCTGAGAGACCCAGGCCATGCCATTCTTTTCAATTGCTTTTTATGCATATGATAGCTGGAAAATTAATAAGGACAATTGAAGATGCCTTTGCTTCAGTCTCCATGTTGAAGAACATTGACTATGTCATGAACTGTCAGAAGAACAACCAAATCTATCTTGAAAGAAGTAAAGCCAGAGTGCTCTACAGAAATGGAGATGGCAAGACTTCCTCTCACATACTTTGGACATGGCATTAGTAGGAACCAGGCCATGGAGGAGCATTCAATGCCTAGTGAAGTAAAAGGTTATCAAAAAAGAGGAAGACCCTCAGTGAGATGGTTGAGGTTTCTTGGGCTGTAACTCTGGGCTGAAACACAGCAAAGTCACGAGGTCATCACAGGAGCTAGTAGTGTTTGGTTTTGAGTTCCTAGGCTTGCTATGGGTCAGAACCAACTCTACGGCACCTAATGACTCAAAGAAAACTCAAACTCATTGCTGTTGAACCAGAACCAAATCATAGTTGACCCTCCACTGGTTTCCAAGGCCGTAAATCAGACATGAGGAGAGCACCTATCTTTCCCTTGTATAGTCACTATACAGGAGGATTCAAGTTGTCAAGTTGTTTTTGCATTAGCAATGCAAGTGCCTATGGGCCATGCCCCAGGGCTCCATGACAACAACAAGGTCTTTGTGACTGGTTATCTTAGCCAAAGGAAAGGAAAACACAAGGCATTGTTGTTGTTTTTAGATGACTTTGAGTTCAAAGTGACTTTATGAACAACAGACCTGAGTTTTGCCCTATCCTGTGCCATCCTTAACACCTCTGACAGTTAAGTCCATTGCTACTGTCACTGTGTCAGTCCATTTCATTGGATGTTTTCCTCTCCTTCGCTGACCATCTAACTTTCCAAACACAATATCACCTTCCAAGGAATAGTTTCTCTTAGCAACATGTTCAAAGTATGAGAGATGAAGCTTTGCCATCATTGCCTCCAAGGAGCACTTTGGCTGAGCTTTTTCCAAGCTGTTTGTTCTTTTGGCAGTCCATGGGACACTCAATGCTCTTCAAAAACATCACAACTCAAAGACATTAATTATTCTTCTTTCATCTGTCTTCATTGAATTCATTCTCAGATGCATAGCAGGTTATTGAAAGACAATGGCCTGAATCAGGCACACCTTAGTCTTTAAACTGACATCATTGCTCTTAAGAATTTTTGAGAGCTCCCTGATAGCTGACTTGTCCAATGCAACATGTTTCCTGATCTCCTAACTCCTGGTATGAAGGTTGTTGATTGTGGATCTGTCAAGATGAAATCATTGACAGTTTCAATCCTTTCTCCATCTGTCATGAAGTTGGCTATTGGCCCTGCTGCAAAGATCTTAGACACGAGACATTAGATATACTTAAAGGTGATTCATTTTGCATATCCAGTGATTCTCCAGGGTCCAGCGAAGAAAGAGAATATGAGTAAGGCTGTTTCTGATCACCTGCCCCTACTCACCTAAGAACTAGCACAATCTTCCATCATGTTAGAAAACTGGTCCAGTTAGAGGCAGGGTTTTCTGCCTCGCCAGGCTGGCACCTGGATCCCATGATAGAGTGAACAGTCAGCAGCAGCGTCTGGTTCAATCTGCTCATTTTACAGATGAAGAAACAGATTCAGAGAGGAGAGGTTACTTAAGCAAGACTTCCCACAATGGGCTGATTTGGATGAGATGAGTAAGCACTTTAATTCCTAACATGGTGGGTGAGAGGGCACAGTGCCCAGCAGAGGCGTGACTAGGTTCTCATATCAGGGTGGGGTGGCCTCAGAAGTGGGGCTGTTCTTTTGGTTAGGGGTGAAGAAGGGATCATGCTGCTCTTTGATCACTTTCCATACATACTTTTGCTTTCTTGACTATACACTTCTTCCTCTAACATACATATTTTTTGATACTTTAAGATATAATTGTTTAATGCAAAAATAAATAACTATTTTTATGATCTGAGAGTGAACAATAGCAAAGACTAGAGATTACCAAAGAAACAATAGAAATAGACACTTTTGTAGGGGAGAAGAAAAGAATAGCAATGTGCGTCGATACTAAGGACATCAGGAATTAATTTAACCAAAAGTGGTTAAATTATAGCCATTGATTTTCATTTTAATACATTCGAGCCCAATTCACGTTTCTAGTTTCAGCAAAAAAACCCCAAAAACAAAAAAAAAACTCAACCAAAAACCACAACACAAAAATTCCAACCTATATCCCAGTTTGTGGCCTGTGTTAACCTTGACTTTGAGCACCTGAGAAATTGCTTCCTGCCTGTCCCTAGATTGTTCCATCTTCTGCTATCCTTATCCTCTGTATGTGAATACATCTAACAGCTTCTACCATTAAAATCAAGGCCACAGATATGATTAAATCCATCCAGATGCTGATGGATGTTGTCTGGTAAAAACATTTCAAGATAATTGTTTTAGTGGAAACAATTCCCAAAGTAAAAAACCCCCAGGAATAACTTGTATTAAAAGCTACCCTAATAAACAGGGGTGGTGGCGGGGTGGGAGGGAGGAGACAGGGACTGTGCAAATAGTGAAGAGTTTGTGCAGAACTGGAAACAATAGAAATCCACATGGGCCACAGGTACGGGGTTAACTTCTCTTAGTGAGGCTCAGGTTTCCCCTCGATGGGTCTTTAATGGTCCATCCAAGTTCAAGTGGAGCAGCGTCTTTCTTCTTACTAACCGAACATGCCCAGGTAAAGCTGCTTCTGTTTCTGATGGTAGCTGCTGAGTTCTGACTGTGTCATCTGGAGGTACTGCCGGACATTGGGGTCTTTTGGCTGCCTGTTAACTGCAGCCAGGAGGTAGTGCTGAGCCTGGTCATAGTCCTGCAGATGGAAAATGGCCACTCCTGCCCGGTACAAGGCCTTGGCATTGTCAGGCTGCCGGTCCAGAACTTTCTGACTATATTCCTTTACTCGTTCATAGTTCACTGGCTTCATCTGAAGAAGGCAGGCCGCTAGGTTGTTGTAGCAGTCGGTCTGCGGGGTGTGCAGGATGCTTTCTTGCTCTGGTGTGAGCGCGGGGCCCTGAGGCCCGAGATTCGGGATCGGGGAGGGCAGACTTGGGTCCAGACCCCGCAGCTGTAGCAGAGCTCGGTGGTACCTGCTCACGGCATCTCGGTACTTCCCCTCCCGGTAGCGCTGGTTCCCTTTCTCCTTGTACAGCTGAAGCTCCTGGAGTCGCTTCTCCATTGCACTGTCGCCTTAGCGCACCTGGAAGTGGATGGAAGTAGGCGGGGACGACAGTTAAAAAGAAATCCTAGTCCTTTATTTATACTTTTTCCGCAAGCATTTGTTGATGTCTGTAGTGCGACCTGAGGAATCGATGTCCACGAGGTCTGTGCACCCGCACCCGCCTAACATACATATTTTTAAACTTGCAATTTTTTTCAAATAGTTTCTTTTTACAAAATAGAATAACGTAATTTAAATGTCATCTCTTAGTGTGCTATCAAAGAGCATTAGAAGACATTGATTTAGCCCTTTGGGCTGAAATTATTCTTCACCATTATGTTGTGGAATGTGTGTGTGTGTGTGTGTACATATATACTTTATTTTTCAGAGCACTTTTAGGTATACAGGAAATTATGGTGTAAATACAGAGAGCTTGGAAGAATACCTGGCCCCTCTGTTTCTCCTATTACTAACACCTTGCAATTCACTTGGAACACTTGTAACAGAAACAATACTGATACATTATTAACTAAGTCAGTAGACATTATTAACATAAGTCTGTAGTTCACTTTCTGTTCTACGCAGTGCTAAAGTTTCCACTAATGCCCAGTGTCATGTGTCCACCAGAAAGCCAGGGAGAACTCTTTCTCTGCCCTGTGATCCACCTATTAATCCCTCCTTCCTCCACTTGAACCCTTGCCACCCACTGTCACTTTACTTTTTTTCCTGAATGTCCTATCTCCAATACTTTTTTTATCAGAGATAACACATGACCCTAGAAAATTGTTGAAACAGCTACATTTAGAGAGAATGGGCTCACTGCACTCCATTAGCGACCCCCAACACTTTAATATTTTTTCTGCCTGGTTTGCTCATCTTCAAAGAGAATGATACTTTTTTCCCCCCAGGAGGGACATTCACAATGACCATGCATCTTGGAGGTCTGATTTCTACACCTCAGCATTCATAAGACATTCCTGGACAAAGTTCAACTTTCTAATTTTAAATACAAAAGATTTTCCATGTGCAAGTCCCCAAACCCACTTGTTGTAATTTTTGAAGTGCTTTTCTTTTTTAAAAAATTTTATTATTTTTTTGTGTGTGTACAGTCAAATCAGATCTGACTGGTACAAGAGGAGATTGTCCCTCCTTCCTCGGCAGAGCATCTGGTGGATTTGAACCATGCGCCTCTGGGATTGCAGTGCAGCTTCTTGCCACTAGGCCACCAGAGTTCCCTTGAAGTGCTTTTCAAGACTGATGTTTGTACCATATGAGAACTGAGGAAAGCAGGTGTGAGATATGCTCTAGAATCCCAGGGATTGCAATTTCATCATGTTCACTTATAATTAGAAATTGTTGGGGTGGGTGTCATTCCCCTAATATGCAGACCACTGTCATTAGACAATTGACCTGCGACAAAGCAATCGTTATACTCTAAATCAGCTATAATTGAAATCTCTGGTAATCCTGTCAACTCCCAGAGCTCATAAACTATCAGTCAATAGGAATTTGTTGTTGTTGTTATGTGCTGTTGAGTCGCCTGTGACCCATAGCAACCCTATGTACAGCAGCTTCTGAATCCTGCCCTGTCCTGATTCAGCCTCTCTAATTACGACACACTAACTCCCATTGCCCCCAGTTACATTATTAATCCATCTCATCTGGAGTCTTTCTCTCCTGTGCTGTTCCTCCACCCTCCCATGACGTCCTTTTCCAAGGACTGGTCTCTCCTGGCAACGTGCCCAAAATATGTGAGACAGAGCTTCAAAATCCTAGCCTCCAAAGAGAAACTTGGTTTCACCCTTTCTAAGACAGACCAATTTGTTATCTTGGCAGTCTATGGTATGTTCAACACTCCTCTCCAGCACAACAATTTGAAGGCATCGATTCTTCTTCTTCTTATCATCCTTAGTCATTGTCCAGCTCTCTGATGCATAGCAAATAATTGCAAAGACCATGTCCTGAAGGCACATTTTAGTCTCTAGACTGACATCTGGACGTCTTGAGAGGTCCCTGACAGCAGATTTTCCCAGTGCAATTTGTCTTTTGATTTCCTGACTGCTGTTGCTAAGAGTATTGATTATGGAGCCACAACCTGGAGCTCTTTTCCATCTATCATGGTGGGGCCAATTAGCCCAATGGTGAGAATTTTTGTCTTCTTAATGTTGAGCTTCAACCCATATTGAAGACTACTGTCCTTGACCTTTTGCAGCAAGTGCTTCAGGCCCTTCTCAGTTTCAGCAAGCAAGGTTGTGTCTTCTGCAAAACGTAGGTTGTTGATGAATCTTCCTCCAATCCTGATGTCAAATAACTCCTCCTAAAGCCCTGCTTCCTGAATGATCTGTTCTGAATATAGATTGAAAAGGTATAGAGACAGAATGCATTCCTGATGCACTCCCTTCCTGATTTTGAACCATGTGATGTTTCCCTGCTCTGTTCTAAGGACTGCTTCCTGGTCCAAGTATAGGTGTTGCATAAGCATAATCAAGTGTTCCGGGATTCCCATTCTCCTCAATGTTAGCCACAATTTGTTGTGCTCCACACAGTCAAATGCCTTTGCATAGTCAATGAAACACAGATAGACATTCCTCTGGTACTCTGCCTTCTGCCAAGATCCATCTAACATTGGCAGTAATGTCTCTAATGCAATGACCTCTTCTAAACCCATCCTGTATTTCTGGTAGTCCTCTGTCAATATGCTGTTCAAGTCTTTTCTGGATAATCTTCAGCAGGATTTTGCTAGTGTATGATAGTAATGATATTGTTTGATAATTTCCATATTCTGTCAGGTCACCTTTTTTGGAATGGGAACAAACACGGATCTCTTCCAATCAGCTGGCCAGGTTAGTTGTCCTCTAGATTTCTTAGCACAACCCGGTGAGCTCATCCAGGAAAGCATTTGTTTGTTAATATATGTAAGCTGGTATTCCACCAATTCCTGGGGCTTTATTTTTTGCCAAGTCCTTCAGAGCACCCTGAACTTCCTCCTTCATCACCATTGCCTCTTGAGCATGTTGCTTCATGAAATTCTTCTGTGTCAGTCACCTCTTTTTGGTACAATGACTCTGTATATTCCTTCCATCATCTTTTAATGCTTCCTAAATCATTCAATATTCAGCCCATAACATCTATGAACATTGCAACTGGCGGCTTGAATTTGTTCATTAATTCCTTCAGCTTAAGAGATAAATGCCAAGCTAGATCAGCCCTTTTGATTTTCTAACTCCAGCTCCTTATACATTTCATTATAGTAATTTGCCTTGTCTTCCCAGCTGCTTCTTAACTTCTTGATTTCTTCCCTTTGTTTTGGCTTCTCTATGCTCTAGCGCAATATTCAGAGTCTCTTCTAAAATCCATTTTGGCCTTTTCTTATTCTGCCTTCTTTGTAATGACTTGGTTTTATTTTTAAAATTCTTTTATTTTATTTTTAGTGTGTATGTGTGTGTGTGTGTGTGTGTGTACCGTCAAATCAGATTTGACTGGTACAGGAGGAGATTGTTCCTCCTTCTCCAGCAAAGCATCTGGTGGATTTGAACTGCTCACCTTACTGTTGCATTCTTCATGAACGATATTCTTGATATCTTTCTACAGCTCATCTGGTCTTCATTCATTAGTGTTCAAGGCCTCAAACCTGTTTCTGAGTTGGTTTTTAAATTCAGGGGGAATAGATTCAAGATCAAATTTTTATTCTTGTGGATATGATTGAACCTTCTTTCGCTTTAATTTGAACTTGCATATGAGTAGTTGATGGTCTGTTCCACAATTAACACCTGGCCTAGTTTTCACTGCTGATATTGAACTTTTCCAATGATCCCTTCCACAGATGTAATTGATCTGATTCCTGTGCATACCATCAGGGGAAATCCATGTTTATAGCCTATATTTATATTTCTTATAAAAGGTCTTTACTATGAGAAGATAAAAATGAAGAAAGATTGTGGGGTACACACTTTTGATCTGCTCGGTTATTATATATGTTTATAGGAGAGAATTGCACATAACATCAGGTTGATCTAATTAGGGGTGGTAACTGAAGGCTTTCATTCTCCTGCTCTGTGCTGTAGAATTGAGAACATCCTTGTTGAAGCTGACAATACTAGAATGTCCAGGTCATTCTTGTATCTATCTGAGGGACTTGCCTACAGTAGCTGGATTTTTAAAAGATCCGAAATCCATCATTGTTGCTGTGTTCCATGAAAGTGATTCGAACTCCTAGTGACCCTGAGACAAACCCACAGGGCTTCACAGGCTGCCGTCTTTCCACATGCAGAACTCTAGTTCTTTTTACCCACAGAGCCACAGATGAAGCCTTTCTGAGTATTTATTCTACCAGAGCTCCTTCCTAAAGCCATTCCCACTAAAAACCAACACCAATGAGTTGGCTCTCATTCATAGTGACCTTCCATCATACTTCTAATGATAGAAATCTAAGAGATTACTTATCTTTCTCCCTTGGAGCAACTAGTGGATTTGAACCGTTGCCTTTTTGGTTAGTAGTGCAATTCCTAAAGCACTATGTTACCAGAGCTCCTTCTTCATTTGCAAAGAATTTTGAGGAAACTATCATGTTTTCTAAATTGGGTGCCTTCTTATCTTTTTTTTTTTTAAGTTACTATATTATAGAGAGCGTTTGTGGCTTAATGGTAAGGAGGTGAGGTGCTAAACTACCGGTAGGAGGTTTGAATCCACCAGCTGCTCTGCGGGAAAAGATGGGCAATCTCCTGTGATTTATAACTCTGAGAAACTACTGGATGGTCAGCTCTGAGTCGATTCTGCCTTGACAATACATAGTAACATGACACTTTATTATTTTAAGCAACTTAAGTTTGTAGAAAATTGAACAGAATAGAAATCTCACACAATAATCCTGTTACTAAAATAACATCTACTTTAGTGTGGTACAATTGTTACAATAAATGAATGAACATTACTATGTTATTACTGGCTTAGCTTCTGGTTTACTGAGCTCACTCATGGTGTTGTGAGTTCTGTGCTGCTGTCATTGCAGTCAGGTTGATTCTGAG